CTACAGTCAGTGCAGTAGACAACGTTTTGATTTTTTTCATTTATGTCCAGATTAAAAATTAATAGATTTGCATTTATCAAACTGCATGCTCATTAATTTTATTCTGTAGCATTGCCCACTGAGCTTCTGAATAATGCCTGTGTAGCAGCAGCCCTGTGATTATCATCTTTGTCTCTGCACTATGCTTTTCTTTGTAAATTCTTGCAAGATATGAAATCCATTGCAATTCTCAGATTGTTCCTCAAGCACCCATTGTTTCTTTTTGTAGCTGTATTTGTTTCATTATAGGAAGTTCCTTGTATTCTATTGATTAAATTTATCTCTGAAAGCTACAGAGTTCCTACTGCAAGTTTATTTTCTATTATTTTTTATATGCTTTATTTCAGTGTTATGAGGACATTTTTGATTCACCAATCTGGACTGTGTAATTTTTTCTGTGCAAACTCCATTTCTTTCAACTTTTTTCTAGTCTTTTTATTCAAGCATTTTGGCCAGGCTTCCAGACAGAAAGCAGTTCTCTGTCAACACACATCCTTTTAAAACATTAAGACTCCTTTTACATCCAGAGATAATTCATCATTTTTCTTGGCCTTTATGTTCCTATCAGTCACATACTTCACTTTTGCAGAGGTTGATACTTATATTTCCACTATAGAGTTTTATAACTCATTTTCCCTGCTTTAGTCAACTGGAAATTATAAAACAGTAGGTGTTTCAAAACACCTGTTATCCTTAGGAGGGAGTGGGTGATAGAGCCATACATCATGCTGAGGGTGGATGGACTTCAGCACTGTGTGACAGACACTGAGAATGAGAGGAAGAAGAGAGAATGAAGGGAGGGAAGGAAGCTGGAATTATGTATTGTAGGAGGGGATGTGGGTTCTGTCACTCTTGAGAAATGAAGGGAATTGACATGCAGAATGGAGTGGAAGAGGATCAGGATGAGGGGCAGTTGTTTCCTGGAGAGTGATACATGTTTTCTCTGCTGTGCTCAACCCACACATTGTCACTGTGAACTAAGAACCATACTATGAACCTGAGAGTCAGTACTAAGAGTGATTGCCATCACTAACCCAGAAACCAAGGAATCTATTCCTTTTATAAAGCAGAACTGATCAGGTCCCAGGTTTGTTGTTTTTCTAAAGCCTTAAGATCCAGTGCCTGAGATTTAACTGCATTTTGATTCAGTGCATCCATCAGGCTTTCCATGCTCATCACCTTCCACTGTGATTCATTTCATGCCTACATGAGTAAGCTTAAGCAGTTCTCATTTCTTTGCTTGGGCTGTGGGGGAACAACTCATCTGCTGGGTGGACACTGGCCAAGGCTGTGCAAGCTGAACAGGGTCTAGAAAACATCTGGACATGATGCAGGGAATTGTAGAATGTAAAAAGCTATGAGAGTCTGCCAAAAGTTACAGACAGCACCGTGGGGAATACCTGAACCTCAGAGGTGATTAAGGCAGAGTTATATGAGAAACAGCCAAAGTCCACAAGTAATTGCACTGGTGCATTAGAGGCCACTAGGGCCTTGGAAGGCCATTAGCACCCAGATAGCCTTGTAAAGAACACCATGAAAAATAGATTAATGATGATCTCACTTATTCTGCCTTAATGGGTCAGGTGCTGGAAAGTCTCATAATGCATTTCAGTCCTTACCAGCCCTACATGGGGTGTTATTCATTAGTGGTTTTGTTTGACTCAGAAGCATAGTTTAGAGGAGAGCCTCCTGACCATTCCCAATTCCCATTATTTAAAGTGAGCAGAGCTTTACATGATTTTAACTGGATTCCTCTCCTATGAAACTAAATCAAGGTTGGGCTCCAGAAGGGCTCTCTGGCTTCTAAGGGGAACTCAGTTATTGCAACCAGAATACAACTAAGCAGGAGGCAAAACCCACTGCTGTGGGCAGTACTGCCATCCTAAACAGAAGCAGTGTGGATACTGGGTCCATGGCACCAACTGTTTTGGGATGTGCTGCTTGCTAATGAAGATCTGCAAAGGTGTTGTCCTTCTCCCTGTGCTCCTGGGAGGGGCTGTTCATCTGTAGTGCCCTTGGAAAGCTGTGTTAGCTGCCAGTAGGTACCACCTGCCATACCAGCGAGTGTCTCCCCAACAGTGTGAGCCATGTCTGTTGTTTGCTTGTTGGATGCCTGGTACCCCACATAAGATTAAATGTAAGGCTACATTCAGTCCCCAAATACTCAGCCAAATTCATTGGATTTGGGAAGGAGAGCTTGGTGCAGTGCTCGCGTGGTCTGTGAATTCTCACTCATTCATAGTTTTCCTTAATCAAGTTTCTTTGTCTCTCTACATACACTTGCAATAAAAGGAGCATTATTGTGACATTTTACCCTCTTATGGGAAGAGATACCTTGTGAAAATTCAGTCTTTAACCCCATGTGTTCCACAAGAAGAAAGCTTATTAAGTTTCCTCACAAAGAAATATGTAATATCTCAGAACCTCAGCCTGTGGTTTCCAACAGCTTTAACAATAAGCTCCAAGTAGTGACAGAAAGCATGTGCTGAACTGAAGAGGCAGGTTAGAAAATGATGTGTTGTAAGAAAACCTGAGTTGGTTTGGAAACTAAAAGAGAAACATAATTACCATTGTTACCACTGAAGAGGCATATTCCATGTATGCATTATAAAATCATCTTGCTGATGTCTTAGCTGTACAGAATCCTCATCAAAACGATGAGCGAAATATTATTCTTTTGCTTTTTCTACATCTGAAAAAAAAGGTCCAATTTCTAAATTCTAAGTTTCTTGGTAGTCTTTTCCTGAATGATAACTTTTGGGACTTTCTTGGCATTTGTTGGTTTTTTGTTGGATTTTTTTTTCCCTCAGAATCTTAAAAAAGCAATAGGGAAGAAACCTCCAGCAATCACTAGGGTGCACCGTTCTAACTATTAAAACTTAATTTTACTGAAAACTTCATCCAGATTTTTTTAGACGTAATCAAATGTGTGATTTTTTTTCCAGAAAACTGGAAGCATCTCATTATAGATTTTTATATTATGCTATGGTTCTTATGGAAATTTCAATGAGATTTCAGTGATAAGCTAAAACGCCAAAGATAATTGAACTATAAAAATAAAAATACTGAGACAGTTATATCTTATCATAATTTTTCTAGTTTCAGTTGCAAACAAATATGTCAAATTTAAAACATAAAAATAAAATAATAGTTCACATTTATTGAGCTAATGATTTTATCATAATCTCCAAATGTTGACTTAGCATGGAGTCTGATCTCGGGCTCTGGAGCTGCAGGATGTAGCCTTTGTGTATTCTCTGGAAAATCAAAAAGTCCTTGAGGCTGGATCTTCTAACATAGATAAAAAGAACTGAATACTTATTGTTAGGAGCATAGCATTTTGCAAATGGTTTTGGTAGCAAGCAATGGTGTAAAAGAGTCAATACTAAAATAAGTGAAGTCAATGCAGAATTAAATATGCTTAATCAGTAATAATTGCAATCTGTTGTTACAGTTTTTATATCTTTACTACATGTTCACAAACCATTATTTTAGTATATACTAAAAAGCTGTAACCTCTTCATCATTTTCAAGCAAATTAGTTTACTTATTTTTCTGTGATAATGTTTTTTGTTTATGCATATTTTCTTTTAAATTACATTTCTCAAAATATTTTTGAGGACTGAGAGAGTTCGACTCATCATTTCTTTAGCATTACTTATGTCTATCTTGTGTAGCAATGGATTGGATTTTTCATTGTGTTGTCATAGCCAGTGCCACTAACATGATCACTATTCTGTCTCTGATTTTTATGGAGCAGTAGCTACTACGAATCTATTTTGCAATTTACATTTGCTATTTCAAAATGTTGTGTAAGAAAGTGGATTGACATTTCAGAACATTACTCTAAACATGAAGTAGGATTATTAGGCTTATTTTATAGCTAGAAAATGGGACCCAAAGATGGTTGAGCTATATCTAGGTGTGGTGATTCACCAGCTGAGCTGCTCACCACATTGCATAGGTACCCTGAACTGGGACTGGGGCTGAAGCTCATTCATCACCGAGTCCTGAGAGCAGCTCAGGGGCCCTCGGCATAAGAAGCACATGGATCTGTCAGAGCAGCTCCAGAGGAGGGCCATGAGGATGACCAGTGCTGAGCCCTTCTGCTGTGAAGAGAATTTGGGTTACTTAGCCTGGAGAAGGCTCAGGGTAAATTTATGGCACCTTTCAAGTACAGAAAGAGGGCAAGAAAGCTGGAGAGGGACTTTGTGAAAAGGTACATAGTGAGGGGACAAGGGGTAGTGGCTTTAAACTGAATGAGAGTAGGTTTTAAGGTAAACATTAGGAAAAGGCTCTTCGCTGTGACTACGGTGAGACACTGAAGCAGTTTGACCAAAGAAGTTGTGGATGCCCCATTCCTGGGAGTGTTTAAGGCCCTAAGCAACCTGATTTAGTGGAAGGTGTCTGTTCCTGGCAGGGGCACTGGAACTACATAGTTTTTAGTAATTCACACCCTTCACATCCAAACTATCCTGTGATTCTGTGTCTGAAATAAAAGTCCTAGAGCATATTTTTCATATTATCATTTGGTGATACTAAAATGTACTGGCTGCAGACATTTGTTGAAGAATCTAAAGAGTTTACTAAACAATAGCGTTCCAAAATGGTTAAATGCATCTTTATTTTATGGTTTTTTTGTTGTTAAGAGCTAAGATTCAGACAGATGAATGAAGCTTTTCCATTATGGATTTAATATGTCACTTCTTCCTTCTGGTGTATTTAGCATTTTTTCACTGTGCTGATTAAAATCTGATTTAGATGATAATTATGCTGGTTTTATCATTCAAACACTCAAAATTGATTTTTAAATCTTTAGGTGGCTTGAACTAGACTTTTATTTCTTAACGGATTTAAAAGTCTGCTTACTATGTCCTTCTGCCATGTTGTCTGTGAATGCTAAATCACTGCAAAATTAGTAAATTTCCAGTTTTAAAGCCAAATCCACCCTTTCTTCACAGGAGGAAGAACTAAGGAAAAGTGGAGAAGCCAAATACGCACACTTGAGTGATGAACTCCACGTATTAATTGAAGTGTTTGCTCCACCTGGGGAGGCGTATTCTCGTATGAGTCATGCCTTGGAAGAAATAAAAAAATTTCTGGTTCCTGTAAGTCACTTATTACATTCTTCTTGGCATGTTATGGTTTTGTTGCATTGAGTTTGTTCCTTTTTTTAGACTAAGGAAAAAACGCCTTCACTACATTCTGTTGAACTTTTGTCTTTCATCCTTTTGTCACAGGGAGATGCCAAACAGGCCATTAAGTGTCACAGTTGATGCCCTGATACTTTTTTCTAGCTGTCTTATTATTTCCATTTATCAATGTTTTTTGCTTTCCTTTCTTGTTTTGTGGAGGAACTGGTAGATTAGTTTTGTTTTCTGATTGTAGACATTAGTCATTTGTATGAGAGTGCACTTTCAGGATTTTTAAATATTTAAGTCTGTAAAAACATTTTACTACATGTAACAATTTGCCTAAATATCTTGCTAATGAAGTTAATTAATTTCTTGTGCAGCAAACAGGATGAGCAAAACATTCCTAAGACATTTCTGTTCACCTTGTGACTCAAACCACACTTTGGCAATCTTCCGTCATCTAGGAGAGTGCAGAAATGTATCTAAAGCTGTGATCTTTTTCAATTTGATTTATATTTAATATATCACTTTCTGAAATATTTACCTTCATGTCTATTGATTTTCCTCAAATTCTCTGAAAATTATTTTTTCCACATTTGTTAGTGCATTCCATGCTATTTTCATACTTAAATTTGTCTTAGCATTGAAGCATAAGCATGCTAAATATTAAGTGAAGTAGTACTAGAATTACATGAGTTGTTTTCTGAGATCTGTCCTGAGAGTTCTTAGTGCTCTAAAAATGTTCAGAACTTACATGCCTTAAAAAGAGCATGATGAGAGTTTGTTTCTATTTTTTAAATGAAAAAAATATGTGTATGTTCAGATATCTTGATAATAATGGAAGGATTCAAAGACTGCCTTTTTTAATGAGTAATAGGAGGCCAAGATAAGAGATATTCAGGTAAGGTTTATGAATACTTGCATGGCAGAATTTCAATGCCTTTTTTGCTGTAGGCTTCTTGGTGCAGGAAAAGGGGTGTATGTTACAAGTAAAATATTGAAGCAGACTATTTAAATGTTAAATTTTTAAGAGCAAATACACATTTTTTTAAGAACAGTAAGTAGCTTAAGATTGTTAAAAATAAATATCTGGGTATTTCTTTTAAATAAAAAAGTTTGCTGGCATCAAGTGCCCAGAAATGAGCTACATTTTAAACAAGTTAAATCTGTCTTTCTGATTTTTCCTTCCGATTTTCTTATGCTTCCAGTTTGGGAACACTAGTAATAAAATACCATTTAGAATTCTTTGAAATAACTGTAAGAAAAGAAAACATTTTCACGATTTCTGAGTTTATGTTGAACATAAAACACAAGGGACAAATTAGGTCAATATTGTAAGGCTGGCAGCATGTCTTGGAATGACATTTTGGCTGCAAGCTAATGGTGAAGATCTGCCAAGCCATTACACTGGAAAAAGATTTATCATTAAGTAACAAATTCCTGAAAAGTCTGGCATGTTATAGCTTAAAATGATAACAGCGCCAATTACAAAATTTACCCATCTTTGTCATTTGGATAATGCTATTTCCAGTTGTTCATGACTTTCCAAAACTTCAGATTGTTTCTGTAAAAGGTTTCTGTTTAAAGTTACCTTCTTTGTCCTTTTCATTCCGGAAAAGAGATCCTGCATTCTAGCATGGTGCAATGAAAATGGCATTGGATTTTTAACATCCATCATGTGTTCTGTTCAGCCTGGGTGAATAAGGGAGACAGAACTGTGTGTTTTCAGAGCAGCATTAAAATCTGTTGTAATATTCAGCATCTGTACAAGCATATATTGTGGATGGCACTTTATTTATTTGGAAGGATTATATTTGTTTTCCAGCACAAGTATAATAGCTACACTGGAGGAAATATAAAAACAGGTTCTTTATTACGAAATTTTGAACATGGTTGACAGTGGCAGGAATAGACCCTGTCATAGAAGGCCACCAAATTTGTCAGGCATGATTTGCCCTTAGTGAAGCTGAGTTACCTGTCACCATTCATCTCCTCATTTCACATGTGTCTTTGCAAAACTTCCAGGAGGATTTGTTTCCATGATCTTTCTGACCTGAGGTGAGGCTGAAAGAGCTGTAGTTTCCTGCATCTTCCTTATTTCTCTTTTTCAAGTGGGGGTTCCTTTTCCTCTTTTCCAGTCAGTGGGAGCTTCAGTGGGCTGACATGACTTCTCACATACGATGGGCAGTGGCTTAGCCCTTCCTCAGCCCATTCCCTCAGCACGAGCCGGTGCAGCTCACCAGGTCCCAGGGACTTGTGCACCTTCGTGTCCCTTAGATATCCTTGAGCCTGATCCTCTCCTAGAGTGGGCAATTCCTCATTCCCCCAGTCCCCACCTTTGCCTTCTGTCACCTGAGCAGTGTGGCTGGAGCACTTGTCTGTGAAGACCAAGGCAAGGAAGTCACTGATGACCTCAACCCTCTCCCTGTCCTGGGTAGCCAGGTCTCCCGGTTTGCTCCAGAGAGGGCCCACATTTTCCCTTGTCTTTCCTTTATCACTGATGTACTTTTCCTGTTGCCCTGGCCAATTTTAATTCTGTCAGGGCTTCTGTGAGCTTTCCTAACAAGATAACTGTCTGCTTGGGCAATTTCTGCACTCCTTCCAGGCTGCCTGTTCCTGCACGCACCCTCTGCTGGCTTCCTTTTTGAGTTTATCCAGGAGCTCCCTGTTCATCCATATAAGCCTCCTGTCATTTTTGCCTGACTTTCTCTTCAGTGTGATGCTCATTCCTGAGCTTGGCAGAGGTGATCCCTGAACATTAACCAGCCTTTTTGTGCTCCTCTTCCCTCCAGGGAATCATAATCACTCCAAACAAGTAAAAATTGTACTTTATGACTTGTTTATTAGTTTTATCCCCTCTGTTTCGTTTCAGATTTACAAAGCAATTATTAACTGACTGGCTGCAACATGTTTCAAGGGTTTTTCACTCAGAAAGATTGCACTAGATAATTTCCTTTTTGTTCCCTATTTGCAGCATCTCTTGAGTTTGTTTTATGATGTTTTGTTGTTTATAAGACTTAATTTATTGCAGCAATGAATATTGGGATTGCATGACAAGGATGAAACAGTAGAATAGAACAGTTTTATTTATACCAAATCAAGGATGCAATAAAGTATTCAAATGAGTTTTCATACTGCTTATGAATTTTCTGAAGATTACATGAAATATTGCCCTCAGAAATTACACTGATCATGTCAGTGAAATGGAATAATGTTTTTATACCTTCTTCAGAAGTTTTAATGAGATTGAATTTTAAGATAAATGCCCAGAAAACATTATAAGAGAAAAGTAGATAAATGTAGAGCAGTACTGAGAAAAAAAAAAATTGAACATTTATTAACTGAAGCAAAGTTTTCATGAACAACTACTTTTGATTTAAATGTAATTACTTCTTTTTTACCTTCAACCTCAATAACTGGTATCCATATTTTTATTAAGGAAGATTTTGCCTCCAGGCCAGAGTTAGAAACCACAGTCTGTCCCACAAGTTAACACATTCCATAGCTGCAGCTCGGTCTCAGTTGGTGCTTTGGGCTCCTTCCAGCAGGCATTTCAGTGTATGACTGAATCCCAGTGTCTGCAGCTCTTGGCAGCTGCCACATTTCCAAAGCCAAGCTGCTTCCTTTGCTGTCTGCAGCTTCCATTTTGCAAATGGTTTGAGGTCTGTGTGGGTGCTGCCAGCAGGACATTGCTAACTGGTTGATAAGATTTATTCTGTAAGCAACTGCTAGTTCTTTGGTAGGTTTTATGCAAAATTAAGTCTTTGTGGGGTGTCATATCCAATTACTAGATAGACTCTGTGCTCCTTTTTGGGTTGATGTTTACTTAGTATGAACATTTGCATATAATTGAAATATGACAAATCAAAATAGCCATGAATAAGGGGATAGGAATAATCTCAGAGTCTTGAAAAACAACTGTCTACTCCAATATTTTTCTGTCAACCTAGTAAAAATGAAATCAAGAATGTGTTTCCAAAGTCAAGGTTTTATATTAACAATCCCATTTGGAACTGATGCTAACATATTGGAAATTATCCAGTATTATCTATGTGGAAAATACAAACAATAGGGATACCTGAAAGGAGGACATGTTTTTCAGATTGACCTTTGTGGCCAACAGATTTGATAAAATCCATAGGCATCTGACAGCCAAGTACTTCTGATCCTGAACTGCCAGGGACCTAGGTCTGTGTGGAGAACCTAAGGCTGGTGTAAGATCTCAGTGCCTCAGAATGGGATGCAGGGTCAGCAAACTAGAAGGGGAGACTGAGGAGCAGAGGGAGGGGAGGAGAGCCTAGAAGCTTTTCAAGCTTTAAAATCTGCTGGTTTTTAAGGGTTCATGGCTATTAAATGCGGTCAAGTTTTTTCACTATTACTGACCAATGAAATTCTACATCACTCCTGTTATATAGGATTGTATAATTTTGATTTAAATCCAAACATACAAATATCTTTTCTGAACAAGCTCTAAATTCCCATGTCGTAAGGAGCTATACTGTTCCTTAGGAGTTCTGTGCTTTCTAACACAGGCAAAATCTTTTTTCTGATTCACACTTTTATCCCTTTAAGCAAAGCATTTTTATTTGACATGGTTAGCATCCCTTGGGAGGATGAGAGAAGCAGATACTGATCATTCATTTTACGTGTGAGTGCTCTGTAATAGGGAGCTATTATGTAGAGGGCAGATTGCAGCTGCGGTGACATGACCACTCTAAAAACATTGTTTACAACTGTGTGGTCAGATGATCAGAAATTGAACCAATTACCACTTGTAAAACTGCTGTCCAATATATTTGCATACATTATCCTAGCCACTTGTATCTGCTTTAAATTGAGGCTTATTGGCACCACTCAAGGGCTGGGAATAAACACATGGCCATGTAATGCAGTCCAGTTGATGGGCAGTGTCTGGTGATCATCTGTCTGTGCAGTATTCTCTGGGTGTTTTTATCAGTTCAGATCAGATCAGA